AAGGACAGCTCTGCAGCCCAGGCAGCCTGTGATAATTGGCTTGCTATCAAGATATAGCTTAGGGAGCCATTGTCTTGGGGCCAGTGGCCTTCTAGTACTTCTTGTATTGTGACATCTGTGTTTCCTCACATCCCCGCCCCTATCATGAATGGGGTTTGCCCTGGTGGACCCTTAGGGTAAGTCCCCCATGCAGCTCATGTCCCAGAGTATTTTTTCAGTGTTCTCATGTCTCACAAACACATGACAAGAAACTTAATAGCTTCAAACAGCACCTACAACTGGGCTTCAGTGGGCAGATGTCCAGCATGTCTATAGAATAGAGTGTGTTCCAGAAGAAAGTCTGTTGGCAGTTCATTCTGGACGTTGCAGAAGTCAGGTCCTTGCGGAGGTCCAGCTGAAGTCCCCATTCCTTGCCAGTTTTCAAACACCCCTTCGCCCCCAGTCCATCCCCACTGTTACCTTTTAGCTCCTGCTCACTGCAGTCCAGGAATCCAGGCAGTTCCCGTCTCACTCTGGGGCTTTTTCATTATCTTCTTACTCCATTTGGGAGTCTGCTAAGGGAGTCTCTCTTCCTGTGCCTGTTATTTAGTATCTATCTTCTGTCTGACCGCTGTCTACCCTGTTCAGTTCTCTCTGCGTGTAATTGTTCCCAAGATGGTGTCAGGGCTCTTCAGTGTCACAGTACTCTAGCAAATTTTAAGGGAAACAGAATCTGTTAGCTGCTGTTCTTGGAATGCTGGGGACTCCCTGCCTTCTTACCTTGGCCCCACCTCAGGCCGGCCTACCTGCCCTCGAGAGTCAGACCATCCTTCTATGTTTGCCATGTCACAATGTGAAGCCCCTTTTCACCGCACAGCACCCGTGCCACTGAGTTGTACTGTGTCACTCGTCACCATTGGTTGAGGGGCTGCTGTACAAAGACGGCTGTGTCTTTGTTCTTGGGTCACCAGTCTACCTCTGACTCAGACGTACTCTGCCCTGCCTGGTGGTCCCTGTCTTTCATAGGAGGCCCTGGGGACCCATGGGAGGTGCTACCATCACCAGTAACCAGCTTTCTTGTGCAGCATTGTAATGGTGTTGACTGGCGTCAGAAGCTGGACTCTCAGCGTGGGGCTGTCATCGCCACTGAACTGAAGAACAACAGCTACAAGTTGGCACGGTGGACCTGCTGTGCTTTGCTGGCTGGATCTGAGTACTTGAAGCTCGGGTGAGACTCCTGTGCAGGTGCTGGGGTGGGCCTGGATCCAAGGCTGCTCAACCCCTCTGCTTTGGGAGAAGAGCAGACCAGGCATTACCCTGGTACTGACCCCAGGCTTTTCCATCTTTTTGTATGGCCTAATATGACCACCCATCCTTCTCCCAAACAGGTATGTGTCCCGGTACCACGTAAAGGATTCCTCACGCCATGTCATCCTAGGCACCCAGCAGTTCAAGCCCAATGAGTTTGCCAGCCAGATCAACCTGAGCGTGGAGAATGCCTGGGGCATCCTGCGCTGTGTCATTGATATCTGCATGAAGCTGGAGGAGGGCAAGTACCTCATCCTCAAGGACCCCAACAAGCAGGTCATCCGAGTTTACAGCCTGCCTGATGGCACCTTCAGCTCTGAGGAGGATGAAGAGGATGAGGAGGAAGAAGAGGAGGAAGAGGAAGGTAAGAAGAGCAGGCCTCTAAGCCTGGGGTGGTTTTAGGGCTGGTGAGGAAGCCAGGCTAGCTCTGCAGTCACCTTCACCTTGGCAGCACATAGAGAACTCCCTAGAACTTCATGTGGGATGAGTGGCACTCAGATCAGCAAAGGGTGCCAAGGAGAATGTCAATAGAAGGCATGGGTGGCTTTGAGAAGAACCAAGGCCATATGGTCAGTTAGACCACCTGAAAGCCTCTCTGGTGGCTACAGAAAGTTACTGAGCCCTACAGAGGTTAGGAGGGCTCAGCAGAGGAGGCCTTCCGCACTCGGGTTTCTTGAAGGTCCAGAAGGGAAGGATAAGTCACATCATGGGGTGAGGCTCATTTTTCTTCATTGTTTTTCTTTCAGAGGAAGAAACTTAAATGAGGCGGCCTGGTGCCTGCGTGTGTTGCACCCAGCTGTGCTTGGGCAGCGTGTGTCCAGCTCCTGTTCTCTAGCAGATGAAATAAAATTTAAATCCTTTTGGTTTCTTCCTTCGTCCTGTGCTCCCATAGTGATCTACAGCCCTTCCTTCTCCCAGCAGCCCCTGGGAGAGAGATATCAGAGCCAGCAGTTTGTGTGGTCTTGTGGCTACTGATGACTGGTTCTGTCACTGCTGGAGCACTTAGAACTGCACTCTATGGAGAGTGAAGGCCTTGATGTTAGCTTCAGGACCCCATGACAGGCCCTTTCATGCACTTTGAGATGCCTTAGGAAGGAGAGCCCTCACAAGAAGTCCTGTTACCCAGTGGTTCTCAACCTGTGGGTTGTGACCTCTTTGGGGGTTTAATGACTTTCACAGAAGTTGCCAAAGACCATGGGAAACATGTTTACAGTGTGATTCACAGCAGTAACAAACACAGTTACAAAGTGGCAATGAAATCATTTCAGTTGGGGTCACCACAGCATGAGTAACTGTATAAAGTGCTCCAGCCTTAGAAAGTTTGAACCATGCTTTCCCTAGCATGACCTGGGTGTGCTTTCAATGCTGTCTCCAAGGGCAGGGTGTGATTGGGAGGTGGCCCTTGAGGAAGACTTCTTCAGAGTGTCTGCTGGGTCGAGATTCTAGTGGCTTACAAGGTTGACTTGGGATGGAGAAAGCCTCAAGGCAGTCTGCACAAAGCAGTGTGTTTAAAGGTGTGTGGACTGAGTGCCTTCTAAACACTTCAGTAATCGTCCTGCCCAGGTAATTGCCCCGGGCATTCTCACCTGCCCCTTCACTGGAGTGTAAGTAGAAGCAGAGCTGTGTAGACAAAGAAACAGTTGGGATTACCTTCCTAAAGAGCCACGTTTCAGCAACAGTTGAGCTTAAAGCCAGCAAAGGATGCTAAGCTTCATCCTTGGGTGTTGAAAAGCTGAGCAGAAACCTTGGGAGTTTCTAAGAATCTCAAAGAGTGGAAAGAACATAAGTATGACAAATGTCTTCAGCTTCAGGACTGGACCAGAATCCAGGTCTCTTGCAGGACCATTGGTCCAATCCACCTAAAAAGCTCCTGGGGCTCTGGGCTGCGGGCTGTAGGTAAATGGTTGGGAACCCTGCAGCATCTCAGCCAGGCTTAGGGTTCCTGACCAGCATTCCCTTTACATCACCAAAGGCAGACCAACTTTCTAGTTCCATTTGATACCTGACCGTCTTCTCCACAGTATGAAATGCTCTGCTTTATGTTTGGTGAGATACCTTGTCTAGACAGGATAGCTTCAGACTAAACCTCCTGTGGGCTGAGGTCTCCCTAGTGACAAATGAAAGTTTATGTCTGGCCCCGGGGTGGGGGGGGGAGTGGTTTTTTGTTGTTGTTTTGTTTTGTTTGTTTGTTTGTTTTGGTGCGGGCTCTAAAGAAAACACCAGCATTCCTGGGTGTGGTTTCTTTCACCAGGACAATCAGTAAGGTGTAAATTTCTAAGGGCAAGTGAGGGAAACTGTAAGTGGGCGGGGTTCCAAATAGGCTTCCAGAAGCAAGGCTCCCTTTCAATGGAAAGCAGCTCCAGCCACGCAAAGCTGGAAAAGTCCTTCCCAGATGTTTTTCCTAAGAATCCTCGGCTTCTGCATCGCCTTGTGAAGGTCGCAGTCCTTCCCTCCAACAGGCACATAGTATTCTAACCAGGTGAGTAACTCTTCCCAAGGAGCCAGCCTCCTTGGAAATCCTCCTTCCCACACAGGGTTACAATTTGAACCGCTGGTTTGAGGATTTTGAAGCAGGATCTCACAGTCCTTTTGCCTCAGTCTCACGATTGCTGCGCTTACAAGAGTGAGCCACTATGTTGTCTCAAAATCCACTTAGTTTATCTTTGTTTATGCAAACGTTGTCACTTTTTATTGACCAGTCAGTTACAAGGTGCTAGGAAACGCTTCCCGTGCCCACTCTTCGGACAACTGAACTAAGACAAATAATTGATTCATCTGTCTTGGTCTCATACTCTTCTCAGTCCCACAAAACTGACTGACCAATTAGTTTCAGTCTTCTACAGTAATAAAGGGATATAAATGCCAAGATTTTCTCCAAAAACCTCTCATCTCTGGCACAAGGGTTAGTACAAATCAAAAGGAAGCCCCGGGTGTCCGTCCCATCATGGACCTGCTGTTCCCCGGGGCACCTCTACCCTCAGAAACAGCGCTCACAGCACGTGCGCGCCACTCGCGCCCGGCTGCCCCACCAGTCCCAGCGTGCTGCGCGTGGCACACGTGACCCGCCCCCTGCTATTGGCCCTGAGTGGGGAGGGGCGTGGCCGCTGTGGCGCGAGTCAGCCCAAGCTTCCCTCCACTGCAGCCTGCGGTGGGAGCATCACTGGGCCACCGGCGGCGGCAGCGGGAGGGTCGGAAGCTCAGCCTGGGCACCGCGCACGCGCCAGAAGCAGTGCGGGATAGCGGAGACCACCGCAGGTGTGCTGGGGCATCCTCACGTGATCCGGGGGGCTGGGGCGGGGCCTTAAGACCACACCTCCTTCAGGTTCCCCCCATTGGGTAGACAGACCAGAGCCTCTGAAGGGTCCACTTGGGAAGATCCCCTCCCAAAATGCAGGGCACATCCAGAATGCGTGGAAATTGGGGAAACTGCCTCTCCCTTGGGGTGGAAGTTACCATGACAATAAGGGAGTCTGACGCCCTGGGAAAGAGGACTGTGGAGACGAGCTGGGGGGTTCCGAATTCCTGTGGGCCCTTGATCCTACCTGGAAGGGATGGAGACGGGATAGATGAGCCCTTAGGTCCTGGGGTTCAGTCTTGGCCCCGCTCCAGATCCCTGGGAGGCACAAGCGCCTGGTTTCTTGTTCCTGGGGAAAGCCGGCTGTCATCAGCTGCCAGCCACGAGGTGCGAGGCCTCTCCTCTCCTGTGCCGCAGGATGGGTCCCTTGGGGCTACTGGTGGCCCTAGCCTTACACCTGGCAATGTGCTCCCGTCCGCACCGGGACTACTGCGTGCTGGGCGCCGGTCCTGCCGGCCTACAGATGGCCGCCCTCCTGCATCGAGCCGGCAGGGACTACGAGGTATTCGAACGCGAGTCCGCACCTGGCAGCTTCTTCACTCGCTATCCGCGCCACCGCAAGCTCATCAGCATCAACAAGCGGTACACGGGCAAGGCCAACGCCGAGTTCAATCTCCGCCACGACTGGAACTCTCTGCTCAGCGACGACCCACACCTGCTCTTCAGACACTACTCGCAAGCTTACTTCCCCGACGCCAGCGACATGGTGCGCTACCTGGGTGACTTCGCGCAGCGCCTGGGGCTCCATGTGTTATACAACACAAACATCACCCATGTGACTCTGGACAAGGATCCACAAGCCTGGAACGGCCATTACTTCATTCTGACGAACCAGAAGGACCAGGTTTACCAGTGCAGGTAAGGAATCTCAGGACACAGCTGGATTGGCCTCGAGATTGGAAAGATTGGGAGAAAGGGGCTACCAGTTATACTCCTTACTCCCGATGGGGCTCAGTGCCAAGGTTTGGTACAGCCAGAACTTTTTAAAGGTGCGTCCTTACAAAGCTGTGGCTGAGTATGTTTGGAAAAATCTAGCAATGTATCCTCTAGGATTTGCCAGGCTCTATCGCCTTCACCATGATCCTCTGGTGTTGGGTACTGTATGTGAACATAGCTTGTACCCGACAACCCTTGCAGGCAGGTCCAGCCTTCTAACACTACTACACTACATTCTCATCCACAGGATTCAAGTTCTAAAACCGTGTCATCAAGCTATGAAACACACATATACACAAAGCTCATATTTTAAGTACGTTTGTAAGTTTTGTTGGGCCATAATCATAGCTAACCTGGATCCCGTATGGCCCAGAGACCACGGGTGGGACACATCTGATAGTTTCCTAAAATAAGTATCCCCAAAACCCATGCTAAGACAAGCAGGGTGAACTGTCCAGGCAACATTAGACACTAGCCAGTAGGATGTCAAAACAGAACCAGAGCAAGCGGCCCAACAAGCATGGCTTCCAGCTTCGGATGGTACCTTGCTTTGGTTTGGGAGACATTATGTGAGCACCTCAAACTTGTTCAGTCCTCACAAGAAACCTAGGGAAGATGTTCCCCAATACTCATTTAGCAGGCACAGATCTGATGCTCTGCTCTGAAGACTTTGATCAACAAGCCATGCCTTACCACTAACATAGTGGGACTAAATTGGGCTAGAATTTTGGTAACACCTAAGCCTGTATTCTATCTGCTACTCCATTCTCCCTTCTTGGCTGTCAGCTTCACTCCTGGCTCCAGACAGGTGTATAACTATCATTAGTCTGTTCCTATAGCTCAGAAAAAAAGGGATTGTCTTGACTGGGACTCTTGGAATTTAGGTAGCTTCACTGGAGTAAAAGGCAGTGGGGAGCAGAGAGGAAAGGGGTCGAAAAACAAAGGTGTGTTTGCTGTATGCATCCCTTGTGGCCAAACCATTCTGCAGCCTGCAAAATCCGCCCCATTATAAAAATCACCAGCATAAAGACCTAGGCATATTAGCACACATGCCCGTAACCCCAGCGCTAGGGAGACTGAGGCAAGAGGATTGCCAGATCTAAGGCTAGCCCAAGATACATATCAAGCTCACGTCTCAATGGGACTTTGACCTTTCTGTGCTCAGATTGTCGCTCTCCTGCTTTGAAGAGTTCTGATGCCCGGACCCACAGGGCCCCATGGCTCCTCCTCCATGAAACAGGCCAGGGGATACCAGCTGGGGAGTGGGAAGATTGAGGAATAGATAAGATAAATGCCCCAGCACAGTGTGGGTAGATGCGTGTGCCTGGCTTACCAGTCACAAGAGGAACCCGAATGCCAGGGTAGAGTGCATCCCTCTGGGGAAAACTGATCTCAATCCCTAGGTATGGTATCCTTCCGGTAAGGCATGAAGGGCTGTGGCTAGCTTGGAGAGAGGCACACTGGCATGGGTCAGTAAATAGAAGAGTGAATGGGTAAAACATCTGAATGGACGTGTCTTTGAGGAGCCTGGAGTCAGGATGAGGCAAGGAGATGCCCACTGAGTGACTGTACAACTGAAAAACTGAGTCCACTCTCTGTGTCCCCACCTGCAGCGTCCTGCTTGTAGCCACTGGTTTGGCAGTCCCCAAACTGGTTGACTTCCCTGGCTCTGAGTATGTGGAGGGGTACGAGTCTGTGTCCGTGGATCCTGAAGACTTTGTGGGTCAGAGCGTGTTGATCCTAGGCCATGGGAATTCAGCCTTCGAGACAGCAGAAAACATCTTGGGTGTCACTAACTTTGTCCACATGCTGAGCCGATCCCGGGTCCGGCTCTCCTGGGCCACCCACTACGTCGGAGACGTCAGGTATGCTACATCCCTGCTTACGTGTTCTGTACCATACATCCTGCACTAATCTGTTTCTTGATACTATAAGAAAATGCCAGCGGCTGAGTTCGTGATTTCAGAGGCTAAGTCTAGCAGTCTGTTGCTCTCTCACCAGCACCCCATAGCAGATGCTCTCACAGCAGCAGGCACGTATGTCAGACAGTAAGGTTGCATGCAGGATGGGAAGACAGAACGAGGGGGAGGTCGGGCTCCCTTCTATAGCAAACCTCTACCTGGAACTTACAGGAGGTCCCAACAGAACTGCCTTAGTCTCTTCCGTTTCCAAGGGCATTACCCAGTGATCTGCCACTAAGATTCACCTCTTAAGGATCTACCACTGGGGCCCCGTGAGTGCTTGACTCCCATGTACTAAAGCCCTGGGTTCAGTCCCCTGCTCCACATAAGCAAGAGGAGCTGACACACACCTGTAGTCTCTGCACAGCACTCAGATGGTAGAGGCTTGAGGATCAGAGTCCAAAGTCATCCTTGGCTACTTAGTGAATTTGAGGCCAGCTTAGACCTCATTAGGACCTTATCTTTACCAAAAAAAAGAAAAAACGGAACAGAAAGAAAAGAGATGTTCACAACCTCCTGGTGTTACCTCTGTGGGGATGAACCTTCCCTTGGGTTAGACAGCCTCAGTTGGGGGAGCTTCCCCATCCTCACCTGCACCAGACAGCCCTCCTGATCCTCTTTCTTCTCTTGCCTGCTTGTGGGGCCCCAGAGCCATCAACAATGGCCTACTGGACACCTACCAGCTGAAATCACTAGATGGGCTCCTGGAGTCAGACCTGGAGCACCTGGCTCTCGTGAAGGACAGCGAGGGCAAGTTCCACATCACCCTGAAGTTCCTCCTGGAGGATAACAGCAACCAGAGTGCCGACTCCATTCTCCTCCCGCAGGATGACAATGACAACTTTGCCATGCGGGTGGCCTACGACCGTGTTATCCGCTGTCTGGGCTGGAAGTTTGACTTCTCCATTTTCAACCAGTGAGTCTAAGTGGGGTGGGTGTGGAGACCCCTCAGTGACACCTTCAGACCTCCCTGGGGACATGGTAGGCTTCAGGAGAGCACCTCAGAAATGCAGGAGGAGGGTGCCAGGGACCTTGTCCCCGGCAGCTCTTGTTTCTAACAACTCTTCTCACTGGCAGGTCCCTCAGACTCTCCTCAGGGACTGAGTTCGGCAAGAAGTACCCACTGATCAAAGCCAGCTATGAATCCAAAGGAAGCCGGGGTCTCTTTATCCTAGGGACTGCCAGCCACTCAGTGGACTACCGGAAATCCGCTGGCGGCTTCATCCATGGATTCCGATACACGGGTAAGCCTGGCTAAAGGACCACTGTCCCAGGGCTCCTGACTTCCAGAGGCATCAAAGGGATGTTTTCATGGTCTGGAGATCCACCTAGAAGAAGCCTGATAGTGGATACCTCTAAGGGTAGCTGTGACATGCTCTGTCTCATGCAGTTAAATTAAAGTGTGTTCAAGGGGATGAGTAGTCTAAGCTGGGCCAGTCTCGGGACTCAACAAGGTAGTACCCTTCAATGTGTGTACCCAGGAAGCAGCTCCTACACCCAGGGTGTGGGAACGCCTCAGTGAAAGTTCTAATTGATTATTCTTCGAGCAAGACTTTCAGGAGTAAAAATGTCACTGTCTTAATGTTTACCTATATAATAAAAAAAAAAATTAAGTAATTTGAGGGCTGAGGACTCAGCACAGTGGTAGAGCTTTTAGTGTGCCTGAAGCCCTGTGTTCAAGTATCAAGATGATGATGATGATGATGATGACAATGATGGCGACAGTTTGATAATTACATGAGAATAATCCCCAACCAGAAACTGATACTTTGTGATGTCAAGGAAAAACAGAAACAGAAAGTGAAGGAAATAGGTTGCTGCATGTTGAGTATCTTCTAGAGGCTGAACAAATGCATCCCTAAAGAACAGCCAGCACCATGTGGTGGCTAGGAAGCCTTTTCTTTTCTCTTTTTTATTATAATAATGTGTGTGTGTGTGTGTGTGTGTGTGTGTGTGTGTGTGTGTGTACACGTGTGTGTATGCACGCGCGTGCTCATGTGTGTCCATGCACACTCGCACATGTGCACAGAGCAGGTACCATGGCGTGCATATGGAGGTCAGAAGACAGCTTGCAGGAGTCGAATCCTCCTTCCACCATGAGTTCTGGGGTTCAAACTCACATTTTTCAGCTTGCATACATAGCAAGTGCTTTGACCCACTGAGCCCTCTGCCCAGCCCAGCCTGTGTTTTTTCCTGAGGAAACAGCTGAGAGCCAGAGAGATTTGCTTGCATTTGATTTGGTTTCTGGTTTTTAGAAGGCAGCCTCTCCTGCCCTTTTCTCCCCTCTATGGAGGAAGCAGTGGACCAAAGCAGCTGAGTAGGCTGTTTAGCTGTCACCCACATTTTTGGGGGGTCAGATGCCATCAGCTTGGTATGGAGTTTGCTTGCCGGGATTGCTTTGCATTCAGTGGATGGAGAATCAAGTCTATCCTTGTTCTCAGGAATCCAGGGAAAGCTTTCACTCAGGGGCCTGAACGTTGTTGCTCTGTGTATCCTCAATCCCAGTCCAGGGTCCACAGTGCTGAGGGAGGTCAGGGAGAAAAATGACCATGAGAGGTAACAGTAGTAAAATGTTTGTGTTCAGACCAGGCTGTGATAGCCCAGGCTAGCTTCCAACTCCCAATCCTCCTGCCTCAGCCTCCCTGGTTCTGAGATTATAGATGTACACTACCACACCTGGTTTGTGCATGTTTTCTTCATGAAGACAGTAAGACAGACAACATGGAGATCAGAGGAGGGGCCCCTGCACAGATCTTGATGCAAAAAATTATGTGCATATTGTAGAAATGTTGAAAAATACAAAACAGCACAAAATCTGTTATCACTTATTGGTGTCACACATGTGCCATGGCATATGTGTCAAGGTCAGAGGACAGACAGCCTTTGGGAGTCAGTTTTCTTTTTCTACAATGTGGGACCTGGGGACTGAACTCAGGCTTGGTGGCCGCTGAAGCCTGCCTACCTGCCAATCCATCTTGCCAGCCCGATGAGTTTCTTTGTAGCATAAGAAGTGAGAGGGAGTAGCAAACTTAGCATAGACTGACAGACTGACAGTCCTCATGCCCTTCTGTATGGGGAGATCTTGGCCCTGCTTCCGGGTTAGAGTGGGCACTCTGGGGATGATGCAGCTGCCTCTGCTGGCTGATGCTTGAGAATACCGTCCTTGGCAGGTATATCTCCTGGCAGGTGAACTCATCTAATCAACCCTGGAGATCAGCTGTCAGTCCCCTAGTCTGTGTCTTTGGAAACAAAAAGGTGTTCCTGGGAGATCCTAGTAGGCTCACATCTCCTTAAGTGGTGGTATCTAGAGAAGCCCCTTTGCCCATAGAGTGAGTGCTGTAGAGTCTGGCTACTGCTATGTGGGTCATAACCAACCCCTAAGGGCCTTGAGTCCATATCCTCCTGTTTCCATTTAATCTGATGGTTTGTGTCACCTCAGACCCAGGGTTTACACTTCAGTACCCTCTCCAGCTGGCAGGGAAAGCTACATAATGAGTCCAAGGCCAGCCTGGGCAACTTAGACCCGTCTCAAAGTAAGAAAAGGGATAGCGTGTAGCTTAGGGACAGAGCACTTGTCTAACATGTACAAGACCCCAGCTTCCTTCCACAGTACCAAAGGCAATGAGGAAATCTCACCATTTTCTGAGTTTGTTCTTTCATGGTTTCTCTTCCACCCCCTTGCCTCAGGATGCTGTCACCTGCTCTGCAAAGGTCTTGCATTCTTGAGGTGCCAGGCTTGTTCTCCATCCCAGGCCCCTCTAGGTTCAGCTCCTACAACATTGTAAGCTCAGCTTGGTCGCTGTCTCCTTTCTTATGAGCAGCTGGTTTGTAGCCCAGCCTCATTGCATTGGGGTGTTTTATTAACTTTGGTAGAACAAGAAATTGTGTCGGCGCATTCCCTGGTGGAGTAGACCAGCCCTAGGTGGAAAGTAAACCACCTCACTGCTGGTTTGGGCAACAGTTGACTTCTACAAGAGATCTCAGAACAAGACAGGGACAGGTAGATTGGGGCTGAGAAAGAAGTAGCCAGAATGTCCATGAAGCCTTAGAGATGACCTCCAAGGAGGATGGAAAGTTCTGTATCAGGGTTGGATTTGACCAGCATAAGGGATAACTGTTGGCAGGGAAATTTCCATGTACAGATAGCCTCAAGCAAATCCATCCAACCCATACTCAACCTGATACCCAAGAGGCAGAATGGAGCAGAGTCCCTGATTGTATGTGACTATGAAAAAGGAATATTTGCCATCTGGCCTTGTATACTCTTTATATACTTTTATATATAGTCTACATATACTCTGTATACATTCTACATATACTCTATGTATACTCTATGTATACTCTGTGTATACTCTATGTATATTCTGTGTATACTCTATGTATACTCTGTGTATATCTATGTATACTCTGTGTATACTCTATGTATACTCTGTGTATACTCTATGTATACTCTGTGTATACTCTATGTATATTCTGTGTATACTCTATGTATATTCTGTGTATACTCTATGTATACTCTGTGTATACTCTATGTATACTCTGTGTATACTCTATGTATACTCTTTGTATACTCTGTGTATACTCTGTGTATACTCTGTATATATTCTGTGTATACTCTGTATATACTCTACATATACTTTGTATATACTTTTCCTCTGTATATACTCTACATAGACTTATACTTTTAGCTCTCACTGCCACTGTTCCCAGGCCTGGGCCTCTCTCCACTGAGCCAAGATAAAATCTCCACTCTTCCTCCCTCTGGCCATTTCAGTGCGTGCTGTCCACCGGCTGCTGGAACATCGGCACCATGGTATCGCCTGGCCATCCACAGAGCACCCCATCACACAGCTGACCAGCTCCATCATTCGGCGTGTAAATGAGGCTTCTGGGCTGTACCAGATGTTCAGCGTGCTGGCTGACATCGTCCTGTTGAAGGAGTGAGTAGTCCTTCCCACTTCCTCTCCCCCAACCCTGCTTTACCCAAACACCCTGCCCCTTGCTTCTGTACGATTCTGTATGCTAAGTGGCCCAGTTGTTTCCTGTCCAAAGGAGGCCTGCAGAGGCTAATATATCCTGACAAGGAAGTCGGTGAGGTAAATACTACAAGGTCTCAGAGACAGCCCACGTGGAGACCCCAGACTGTAGACTTCTTACTGTATGGTTTGGGGGAATTGTCTAAGCTGTGTGCTTTCTTGCCTCATCTACAAAATGAGCATAATTCCCTCGCAGCATTGAAGGGTGAAGATGAGAGTCCCCTCAGGCAAGGACCTGCTTGGCTCTTTTAGATCAGAGTGATTACTGGCAAATCACAGGACGCACAGAGCCTGAGGATATAGTGCAGGACGTGTCAGGAGGGAGCAAGGGAGGGACAGCTCTGACTTTGGTAGGCATGGGTGTTGTGGGTTCAGAAGACAGGCAGGTGAGACACAGGAAGACTCCTAAGTCAGAGGACACCCCTTGATCCAAAGCCCTGGCTGCTCAACACCAAGTTCAGGACACGAGGAGGCCAGGAGTCTAGCACACCACCTTGCCTCGTTCTCAGCACCCCTTCTGTGAGTGCCAGAGCTGTCTAGATCAGGTGCTCTTGCCAGGACCCAGGCTTACTCAGCATCCTAGTCCCATCACCCGGTGGCCCAGTTGTCTCTCAACTAACTCACTCTGCCCTCAGTAGCCGCCAGCTATCCTTTGAAAAGGATAGTCATACTGTTGTCCCTGCCCCCCACTCCCCTGGGGCCAACAGCTCCCCTTCTCCATCCTCTTAAGTGTACATTCACCCCATTCTTCCTTTACTCAAGCCCAATGACCTCCCTGACTCCATTACTGTCATCTCTACCTACAGAGATCAGCTTGTCCCCCACTTTCCCTCATCCTGGAATACCCTTGCCCCTAACATGCTCTCAGGTTGTACAGAGCTCTCTGGAACCTGCCCCAGATATTCCAGAAGGCACGGCTGCCACAGTGGTATTATAGGGTGGGAGATTCCTGGTCAGTCCACAGCACTGCACCCGTGGTGGACCTGCACCGCTCCCTGGTCCTGAGTGCCCCCTGATCCTACCCACAGGAACGCTACAGCATTTGAGTACCTGGAGGAGTTCCCTATGCAGATGCTGGCCCAGCTGGAGATGCTCACAGGGAGGACAGCACGCCACGGGCTCTTTGTCATCAACATGGAATATGGCAAAAACTTCTCTGGGCCTGAGAAGGATGTCTTCTATTATGACCGTTCCGTGGCACACATAGAAGATGCCTGGATGTCTAACTTCCTTCACCCTGTCATCTATTACTACAGACACCTCCCCACCGGTGAGCTATCGTCCCCCTCCCTGAGCCCAGCCTCTTCAGAGGGCTCTTCTTGGACCACCTCTGTCTAAAAAAGCAGTCACCACAAGGCCATTCAGAACTTCTGCAGCTGACAGAGGGCACCCAGGGGACCTGAGTAAGCCACACATGGTCTCTGGGGACATAGTGAAAGGGGAACTGTCATGGTGTGATGTCTCAAAAGATGGGGAGGTGCTGCAGGTGAGTATTAAGAAAAATGAATGAGGGCGGGTAAGATGACTGAGTGGGTAGAGGCACTTACCGTAGAAGCCTGGAGACCTGGGTTCAATCCCTGGGACCCATGTAAAGGTGGAAGAAGGGAACCGACTGCACAGATTTGTCCTCTGACTCCACACAGGCTCTGTGACGTGTGTGCCCACACAAACAATGTAATAATAAACCAGACATGGACACAGTACAGAAAAGCCAGGCCAAATTCACAGTTCTACACTCACAGAAGTTGGACCTTGGCCATTTTACTTAACTTCGCCGAGCCTTGCTTCCTGGTCTACAAAACGGGATGATGATGCAGTTCGTACAGGACTGCAGGAGGATATACACGATTTGCCAGCAGCCCAAGGGCACGGCCTAGGTACCATGCCTTTCAATTCAGAGCTTGAAAGGCCTCAGGTTGAAGAAAGTGCTCCAGACAGAGCTAAGGAGGCTGGGGCAGGTTTACCATGAGCTAGCTCAAGGCCAGCCTAGGCTATCTAGTGAGCTACCATCTCAGAGCTGAGTGAGTGAGACACCCCTCTATAATCTCAGCATCTGGGAAACAGGGCTACTTGAGACCCTGTCCCAAAAAAAGAAAGAGGTAGCCCCACTGGGGATTATTCCCAAGGGCAGAGGCAGCTTCAGAAGACAGGGAATGGGGAGTGCAACTCTGTAGTCGGCAGCCCAAACACTGGCCAACTGGGATTGGTCTCCTCCTAGACTATGGTTTCCAGTGTTGGACCAATGGCCTATGGGCTGGGCCCTTAGCGAGCAGGGTGAGTCTAGATCGCCCTATGTGCTCACTGGTCCATGTGAGCACTCAGAAACCACAGGCAGCAGCTCTAGTTCCCCTTCCTCCAGCTACATGAAGGTGGCTGGTGGCCAAGCTGACCACAGCCTGGCAGAAACACCACAGGAAGGCAATCATGAGAGTAGGGGGATGTGCCAGCATCAAGGGCTGGCCCTGATGCCTCCCTCCTCCCACAGAGCAAGACATGCGGTTCCGTCCTGCACAGTGGCCCCTGCCTCGGCCTACGGCCATCCACCACATCGTGGAGGACTTCTTGACTGACTGGACAGCCCCAGTGGGACACATCCTCCCATTGAGGCGCTTCCTGGAAAACTGTCTGGACACAGATCTGCGTAGCTTTTATGCAGGTAACCAAGTTCCCAAGAGGGCAGATGGTGGGGTGTCTGCCCTAATGTTAGAGTACTAGCACGCATGAGTTTGAGGCCTAGTACAGGAAAAGGAAAGGGTAAAAGAAGGCTGGAGAAAAGTAATGAAGAGCTAGAGACTACCAAAATTAGACAATTTTGAAAACGATGCAGATAAAACTAATGGAAATTAAATATGCTTGAAATGAGAAGGTCGATGTACGGAGTTGATGGATTAGACAGAGGTAAAGAGGGAACTGGTGAGTTGGAAGGCAGACCTGACGGCCAAGTACAAAGAGGGACCTAGGGCAAGAGCTCAAATGATCTAGAAGAGAAAGTGACAGAAACAAGCCAATATTTTTGTCCTTTGAAACCCCTGGATGTGCTGGGCAGTGGTGGTGCATGCCTTTAATCCCAGCACTTGGGAGGCAGAGGCAGGCAGATTTCTGAGTTCGTGGCCAGCCTGATCTACAGAGTGAGTTCCAGGACAGCCAGGGCTACACAGAGATACCCTGTCTTGAAAAAGAAAGAAAGAAAGAAAGAAAGAAAGAAAGAAAGAAAGAAAGAAAGAAAGAAGGAAAGAAAAGAGAATCCCCTGGATGTTTTGAAACCAGTGCTTTTTCTATCGTTGAGAGAACATGTCAAACAGCTGTCAAATGTGTGACACCATTCATTCCAAGTCAAGTTAGAGACTGCCTCTAGCCAGTCAGAGTATCCTGCTTTATCCTGAGTCTCCTTTGAGGTGATGGTTTGGGAGCTGGCTTGCTGCTGTGTGACACCCCAGCCCTAGTCACCCAAGGATCTTCCTACCTTGGTTAACCCATAGAGCAGAGGCAAAGCTGACTGCCTTTGCAGTTTCTACAGTCTGTGAGTAGCCAACCTTGATCATATGGACCCCCGAAATGCCTAGAAAAGAGAGCCCCCAGCTTCAACCTGCCTGCTCAGTCTCCAAGACTTCAAGAGTCCACAAAAGTCCATTGCATATTCCCACCCCGAGCCGTACATAGATCCCAGTGATGTGTCCTCCCAGCCTTTGTTTGGTGCCCTGAGCTGGGTGATGTGTTTCCTATCCAGACCATGCAGTGTGTGGTTAAAGACCCCCGGTGAATGCCTGAGTGAATATAACCACATCTCATACTTACAGCCAGGGGCTTGAGGTCACTCACTTTGGGGGAATCCCATAATGAAATATCAACTAGATTTGGTGATTGCTGGCACAACACTGTTTGATGTCAGAATATGAATGTGTGTCCATGTGTGTTACGTTTTCCTCCACAGATTTAACGTCTGTTTGTTTTATGTGATATTTATCATTGCCACATGGATTTCTTTTTCCCTCTCATGAGTTGCCAAATGGAAGATGCTGTTTACCACAGCATTTAGCAGCAGCATACAAGGCGGGTTTTTGTTTTGTTTTGTTTTGTTTTGTTTCCTTATTCTGAATAGAACTAGCACTTTCTCACTTAAAGGAAATCCTTTACGGCTTCCCCTTGGCTTTGCTACATTGTTGCATCTTCTTCATAAGCTTTTACGTCATTACTAAACGAGGTAAGGTAAGATATCCTAGTTTGCTTTCCATTGCTGTGATAAAACATCATGACCAACAGTGTGGGGAGAAAAAGTTTGTTCCTCCCTCTTACACTTCCAGGTCACAGTTCATTGTGAATGGAAGGCGGGAACCTGGCAGCAGGAACTGAAGCAAGGGTAATGAAGGAGCACCCTTGCTAGCCTGTGCCCCCTGTAGCTTGCTCCAACAGCTTTCTTATGCAACCCAGGGCCTGCCCAGAGATGCACCAACCACAGTGAGCTGGGCACTCCTGCACCAATCTCTAACCAAGAAAATGCCCCCGCAGACTTGCCTACCATAAATCAGATGGAGGCAACCCAGCAACTAAGGTTCCCTCTTCAGCCAGCACGCCTTTAATCTCAGCAGTAGGGAGGCAGAGGAAGGCAGAGCTTGAATTTGAGGCCAGCCTAGTTTACACTGTGGGTTCCAGGGTAACCAAGGCTATGTAGAGAGACCCTGTCTTTTTTTTTTTTTTTCTGGTTTTTCGAGATAGGGTTTCTCTGTGTAGCCCTGGCTGTCCTGGAACTCATTCTGTAGATCAGGCTGGCCTCGAACTCAGAAATCCGCCTGCCTCTGCCTCCCAAGTGCTGGGATTAAAGGTGTGCACCACCACTGCCCGGCGAGAGATCCTGTCTTAAAAACAAAACAAAATAAAATGGGGCCCTCTTCCCAGATGACCCTACCCTGTGTCTAGCTGACAAAAAGCTAATCAGCACAGAAGAGTTACCCAGCTTAGGTAGGTTATGCCATTGTGATGGTCCTGCTGATACTGATGGCTACTGAGTGTGAGTAGTATAGAGTAGCATATACAATATGAAAACCATGATGACACTAAGTAGAAAGTGGTAGAAAGTATATATTAGGTGGATACCAGGGTCCCCAGCACTGGCATGCTCTCTCTGTCTTCTCTCCCAGCCTGGCCTGACACCTTCTTTTATCCTTATATAGAGTCCTGTTTCCTGTTCACTCTCACTCGCCAGAGGCTGCCGCCCTTTTGCCAGCAGGGATACCTGAGGATGCAGGGGCTCTCAAGCACCAAGAGCCTTCGGCAGCATGGTGTGGAAAGCAGGCTCCTGCAGGACTACATGGCCACGGAGAACAGCAGCAGGTGGCTTGGTGACCACTCCTCAGCTCCAGGGCCTCTGACTCAATCCCTTGACAGCAACAGAGAGGAGCTTTGAGCATCCTCTCCCAGACTATGATGGCTGGCACCTCTCCAGGAAACCTATGCCAGGGAAACCTCCCTCTCACCTTTCAGGCTGCTCAGGACCATCACAGAGATAACAGGCAACAGGACAGCCTGTAGAGTGCAGAAGGCTGGGATAAGGTCACATAGTGGTGTCCCTTCCTGTGCTGGCCCCTGGTGCTAGATGCAAGGTCAAGAGGAGGGTACCTTCTGTCAGGTATGAGATGCCTTCCACATCCAGCTTGTGTCCAGCTTGGACCATCGCTAAGTAAGCACCATGCTGCTCTGTGTCTGCTTCTAGATCAACCAATCGCCTTTTCCTTCTGGTTCACTCTGCAGATGGGCTTGGCTCTACCTAGGGAATGTCTCAAAGCTGAAGGCCCCTCATTTCCATAGTGGGCGTATTGGAGTGAAGGCTTGGAGTCTTCAGCAGTGGAGTAAACCGTTGGGATCTCTGCTTCCCAGTACAGATGTGGACTCCAATTCAGAAGCATCAGATATCTCCTAGTATTCTCATCCAGGAGGCCTGCCCCTATTGCCACCCTTTCTTTCCACACTGTGTCGCCTTCCCTGGCACTGGCTCTCAGGAGAACTCTAATCAGGCTGGGCATCACAGGCCCAGATGGCTGGTATAGGGCAGAGACAGAAAACTCCTACAAGGTCTTCTGTCCAACTGGCTTCTCAGGAGCAGAGCACCTCAGTGCTGCTCTGTGCTCAAGATCACACTCCCAGGAGTCAGCAGCCTGTGTGTCCCTCTCCCACCTCACTGCCTGGCACCCTGAGCCATGTCTTCCCTGACTCCTGCCTGGGCAGGTTTAAGGTGATGTTGTGCCTGCTGCCTTGGGCATGGAAATGTTGACACTTGCCCAGCTCTGGGCTGCTCCAGGCTGCCCCAATGCTCCTCTCCTCTTCCTTGTCTTCCCTCCCAAGCCCACGCTCAGCCGACAGATTAGCAAAGAAGCCCTGAGGAAAGCATGGCCCACCTGGGCAGCATGGTGATCTCGTGATTTCCCGTAGCCCCAGAGTGCAGGTACTATTTGTCACCAGGGCTCTGTCAATCTTCATGGAGGCCACTCAAATGTCCAGGAACATGATGACCCCAAAGCCCCTTCCTGGGATCATCCTCTTCTCCATGGGAGAGTCTTGACTGGGTCCAAGTCCTCTTAGCCACCCGACCTGCCTGCAGCCGTCTTCCTTTCTAGCCTACCAGGTCCTAACAGGACAATTCAACAGCGTTGTGTCACCAGGAGGAACTGTGTACCCCTGTACCTACTTGGGGTAGTTTGCATAGCGCCAAACCTTCTAACTAAGTCATCATCCGAACCCAGGATGTCAGTGTAGCCATATTTCACACTGAGTGATTGGCAAGCCAAACTTGGACCCTTGCCATCCCACCCTCTTCTCCAAAGCATTTTCAAACAAGTCTTTGATTTAGCACTACGAAATCGAATCTTACCCCTTACATCTCGCCCTCCAGTCATCGAGGGTGGCTGAGCCACTTGTTTGGTGCCTTAGCAAGTAGCTGGCTGACACCCTTGTATAGACATCTGCTGCTTCCTGTCATCTGCCAAATTGTTGATTCCATCAGAATATCAGGCAGCCTTATTTGTTTTTAACACGGAGTCTTCTGTTCTTGCTCAGTTGGCTAGAGATGTCTTCTACTTCCCTTGCCCCATAGGGATTCCATGTCCTGGCCTGGTACTCATTAAATAGCCCAGCCTGCACTGGACTCATGGTGATTCTCCTGCCTCGACCTCTCAAATATTGGGATTACAAGCTTGAACCATATAACCTTTTTTTTTTTTTAAGATTTATTTATTTATTATATATGAGTACACTGTAGCTGTCTTCAGACACACCAGAAGAGGGCATCAGATCTCATTACAGATGGTTGTGAGCCACCATGTGGTTGCTGGGATTTGAACTCAGGACCTCTGGAAGCGCAGTCAGTGCTCTTAACCACTGAGCCGTCTCTCCAGCCCCCCCATATAACCTTTTTTAAGATTTATATTTACGCCAGGCGGTGGTGGCGCACGCCTTTGATCCCAGCACTTGGGAGGCAGAGGCAGGCGGATTTCTGAGTTCGAGGCCAGCCTGGTCTACAGAGTGAGTTCCAGGACAGCCAGGGCTACATAGAGAAACCCTGTCTCAAAAAATCAAAAAAAAAAAAAAAGATTTATATTTACTTATGTGTACTCATATGTGTCTGTGTGTGAGTATGCGTGCATTAGTGCAGGTGCCCAGAGCCCAGAAGAGGGTGTCAGAACCCCCTTAAAGATGGAGTTACAGGAGGTTATGAGCCACTATGTGGGGAGGGGACTGGGAACTGAGCTCAAATCCTCTGGAAGAGCAGTAAGTTCTGAGCCAATTGCTCTGGGACCCCTTCCACATAACTATTTTAAAGAAAATAATAAAAATAAGCCAAGCTAGATGTGGCACACACCAATATCCTAGCATTAGGATGGCCAAGGCAGTAGAATTGAGGTTTAAAGCCAGCCTGGGCTACATGGAGAGTTCCAGTATGGGCAACTTAAAAAGATCTTATCTCAAAAAAGAAAAAAAAATTTTTTTTTGATTTTTTGAGACAGGGTTTCTCTATGTAGCCCTGGCTGTCCTGGAACTCACTCTGTAGACCAGGCTGGCCTCGAACTCAGAAATCCGCCTGCCTCTGCCTCCCAAGTGCTGGGATTAAAGGCGTTCGCCACCACTGCCCGGCATCAAAAAAGAAATTTTAAAAAGGCAAAAATAACTGGGCATGGTAGTATATGCCTTTAATCTAAGCCTGTCCAAAGCATAGAGTGGAGAATTCAAGGCCAGCCTGGGTGACACATATATAGTGAGACCCTCTCTCAATCAATCAATCAATGGGCAGGAATAATTATGGTGAAGGAACTGGTTGAAATAAGTGAGAGAGACATGAAGAGGAGTCATATAACTTCTCATGATCATCTCTTACGGGGTGTAGGGAAGGGCTGGTGCGTATGCTCACACATACTCACTGCATACAATGTGGCGCTGGGTGAGAAGGGGCAGCAGCTGCTTGTATCTGTGACGATGGGAAACCACAGTGGCTCTGCTGGGGCTGGGGGACAAGGTTCTTTATTCCTCTTTTGATCAAATTTGTGTTTATTTTTTAAATGTGATTATATGCCACTGAAATAAAAATACATTTATTTTTAAACAATTTCTACTCTTGAATTTTGGGATTGCTGGGAAAGAGTAGACATGGGAGCCCTTGCAAGAGGCTGTGCTCTGCTGTACTGGTCCCTGTGGTAGCCAGAGTGGGGGTGTCTAGAAGGAATCATTAGAGGGAAAGGAGCACCATGCAAAATGCATCGGGGCACAATCGTAGATACACTTGTAACCCTGGGACCTGGGAGGTGGGAGGCAGAGGCAGGAGGATCAGTTCAAGATCACCCTGGGATACAAAAGACATCCTTTTTTTTTTTTTTGGTTTTTCGAGACAGGGTTTCTCTGTATAGCACTGGCTGTCCTGGAACTCACTCTGTAGACCAGGCTGGCCTCAAACTCAGAAATCCGCCTGCCTCTGCCTCCTAAGTGCTGGGATTAAAGGCGTGCGCCACCACTGCCCGGCAAGACATCTTTTCTTAAGGACTTATTTATTTCTGTACTTTGTACACATGAGTACTTTGTCTGCAGGTATAACTATACTCCAGAAAAGGGCATCAGGCAGGTGTGAGCTGCCATGTGGGTGCTGGGAGTTGAACTTAGGACTTTCGGAAGAGCAATGAGTACTCTTAACCACCGAGCCACCATATAAAAGCTCTATAAAAGACATCTCTCGCCGGGCCGTGGTGGCGCACGCCTTTAATCCCAGCACTTGGGAGGCAGAGGCAGGCGGATTTCTGAGTTCGAGGCCAGCCTGGACTACCCTGTGAGTTCCAGGACAGCCAGGGCTACACAGAGAAACCCTGTCTCGAAAAACCAAAAAAAAAAAAAAAAAAAAAAAAGACATCTCTCCAGCTCCTATAAAAGACATCTTTAATCCCAGCCCTTGGGAGGCATAAGGAGAAGCAGGCGAGTTTCTGTGAGTTCAAGGCCAGCCTGATCTACATAAGGAGTTCTACACCAACAAGCTATACAGTGAGATCCTGTCTAGAAACAAAAATCAAAACAATAAAATAGGCTGTCCAGGCTAAGGAAGCGAGTGGATGATGCGTTCCTCATGTGGAGTCTGAACTCACTGAGACAGCACAGCACGGCCATCCTTGGAAGCATCTTCTCTCAAATGATAGGAAACCACAGATAAAATTCCTCATGTGGGAGAGACACCTGCCCTGGGCTCGTCTCCAGTGCCTTGGATGGCACCAAATTCCTTCTCTCTGATAAAAGTGCCTGAAGTCTACCTGGAAACCAGCTGGCCAAAAAGTAAATCTGTGGCCTGGGGATGTGGCTCAGGTGATAGGATGCTTGCCTAAAACATGTAAAGTCCTGGAATCATGGTGGTCCAGCATGGTGGCATACATCTGTAATCCTGGCACCCTTAGGAGGCAGAAGCAGGAGGATCCAAAAGTCAAAGCCAAACTCAACTATACAATGAGTTTGAAGCTAACCTAGAACACATCAGACGATAACTAAAAAAAAAAAAAAAAAAAAAGCCCTCATGAGCCAGGTATAATGTTACAGGTCTATAATCCCAGTTGAAAGGAGGAGGAGGGGTTGGGGATTTAGCTCAGTGGTAGAGCGCTTGCCTAGCAAGCGCAAGGCCCTGGGTTCGGTCCTCAGCTCTGAAAAAAAAAAAAAAAAAAAGACAAAATGAAAGGAGGAGGAAGGGGGCTGGAGAGATGGCTCAGTGGTTGAGAGCACTGACTGCTCTTCCAGAGGTCCTGACTTCAATTGCCATCAACCACATGGTGGCTCACAACCATCTGTAATGGGATCTGATGCCCTCTTCTGGTGTGTCTGAAGACAGCTGCAGTGTACTCATACATAAAATAAATAAATAAAATCTTTTAAAAAGTAAAAATAAGTCGGGCAGTGGTGGCGCACGCCTTTAATCCCAGCACTTGGGCAGAGGTGGGTGGATTTTTGAGTTCAAGGCCAGCCTGGTCTACAGAGTGAGTTCCAGGACAGCCAGGGCTACACGGAGAAACCTTGTCTCGAAAAACCAAAAAAAAAAAAAAAGTAATAATAAAAA